AAAGTTTCCTACAAAACAAACAAGATATATATATAGCTTCATTTCTACATTTTCCTTCTCTAAGATCCTTACTATTTTACTTAACATGGTAAAAATTTGGTAGTTGAGATGTAACACAAGAGTGAGTCGTACAAGGAACATAGGAGCAAGCAGTTCTTGATGGGAAAAACTAAAAATCTCCGCAACAGCTGGACTTTTCTCAGTACACAGCTCATGATTCTTGTGTGAAAGTTCTGAACTTCAGGTCCATGACTCTCTCTGAAATTTCAGTTTAGGTTCATGTGAGATTTTTCAAGAAGAGAGTACAAAGATTTCTACCAAATTTTCATGTGAACAAAGTTATGGGGATGGGAAAAAGGATCAGGGGAAACATCTACTGTACTAGATTAAGAGTTGTATGATAGTAGTTTTCAATTTTTACAAGAAACAATGTTTTGACAAAGCAAAAGATGCCTATCCTTTTTTGGCTTTAAAAAGGCAACTCTGCCAAGATATGAAAATGATACTATTTGTTAAAAGAGAACAGCAAAAAGAGTAAAAATTCATATCCCAAAGAAACCAGTGTTCTGCAAAGGACTACCCCACATAAACCATCTGGAGTGCTCTCATGGACTACACTAAAAAACCAGACATGCAGAGATTCCATTGTATCGAATTAACAAGGCATTCTTTCTATGCACCACCCGCTGGAATGTGGAAACAGCTTTGTTATTCAGTAACCATAGCTTTAATGTTGTTTTTTGGGGGGTTTTGTTTTGCTTATTTGCTTGTTTCTTCCGAAGTAAAAGAAGTAAAAGAATAGCAATGATCAAGAATACAGAGGGTAAACTACAGACTAGAATAAACACAAGAGATTCACTCTAAAGCTCTTTTACTACCATAAATGATAAAGCCAATAATGAATATCTAGTTATTTTATTTTAGTGGACCCACTACATAGCTAGATCATACTCTACCACATATAAAACAAAGATAAAACTAGCAAATATTCAGGTAAAAATAAGCGATTCTGACCCAGAAGGAGAAAACAGGAACATGATATAGCTACCCTCTCATTCAGCCTTCTTTTCCTTCTCTGTTAAATTCGTGGGCCTTTTTTAGGGAGGAAACAATTTGGGAATTACAGTTTATAAACAAGGATGCTCAGCTATTTGGAGAACCAAAAAAAAAAAAAAGATTTCCCTCTTTTCCTACTTCCCCATGCTAAAACATACAACCCAGTATTTCTTTAAATACTTTGTGTAGGGGCACCTGAGTGGCTCAGTTGGTGAAGCGTCTGCCTTCAGCTCAGGTCCTGATCCCAGGGTCCTGGGATCAAGCCCCGCATCGGGCTCCCTGCTCGGTGGGAGGCCTGCTTCTCCCTCTCCCACTCCCCCTGCTTGTGTTCCCTCTCTTCCTGTGTCTCTCTCTGTCAAATAAATAAATAAAATCTTAAAAAAAATAAACACTTTATGTAGATTACTCATTTTAAAGAAATTTATTTTAATCCAACACCTGTCTACTCACAGTACACTGGTACAATGGGTCATTGAGATAATTCATTGTTTTTTAAAAATTCTATAGTAGTGGAAATTTTAAGTATTCAGCCTGAAATAATTAACTGGTTCTAATATTATAAGTACTTTTCCTAATTAAAAACAGGTATCTTTATATTATTTCCCAAAAGTGCTCAAAGCACAGTATCATTGTATAAGAGCCAACAAGAATGAGGAAAACAGGTTAAACTCCCTTCAGATAGAACTTTCCTGTCTCAAGCAATGCTATAACACATCCTAAGCCTTCCTCTCTGGATACTTACTCCTTAGAAATTTTTACTATTATTTCTTACTTAGGTATAACTTAAGTATACAAATTTAAAGTACATAGCCCAAAGAATTTTTACATTATGTAAACATCCAATTAGCCATCACCCAGATCAAAGATACAGAACATTTCTATCACTGTAAAAGATTTTGTCATACTCCTTCCCAGTCAATACTCTCTCCTTTTCCTAACAGGTACCACTATTCTGATTTCTATTACCATAGTTTCACATTGTCTATTCCTTATATTCATTAAAAAAAAAAAGTGAAATTATATAGTGTCTACTCTTTCATGTCAGGCTTTTTACTCAACAATATATTTTTGAGATCACCCAAGGTACATTTATTAGTAGTTGATGTCCTTTTTTATTGCTGTGTAGTATCCCTTTTTACTAGTACCAGTTTATAGACATTTGGGTTGTATCCAGTGCTTAGCTATTATGAGCGAAGTTGCTGTGAACGTACGTGTTTTTGGTGAGTATATGGACTCATTTCTCTCATGTATACATCAAGGAGTAGAAATTCTGGGTCACAGGGTAGGTATATGTTCATTTTTAGCAGATACTGCCAGTTTTCCAAAGTGACTGAATCAGTTTACACTTTAATCCGCAATGATTAAGAGTTATCTACATCCTTGCAAAATCTTTTGTCAGTTTTTTTTTTTTTAAAGATTTTATTTATTTATTCAAGAGAGAGAGAGAATGAAAGCTAGAGAGCACAAGAGGGAAGAGGGTCAGAGGGAGAAGCAGACACCCCGCTGAGCAGGGAGCCCGATGTGGGACTCGATCCCGGGAATCCAGGATCATGACCTGAACTGAAGGCAGTCGCTTAACCAACTGAGCCACCCAGGCGCCCTTTTGTCATTGTTTTTAATTTTAACCACTCTAGTGGGTATACCGTCATGCTCGTTATAGTTTTAACTGGCATTCCCCTGATGAGTGATGATGACACTCTTTCATATGCCTAATGGCAATTTGGATACCCTCTTTTGTAGAGTGTGTTCAAATCTTTTGCCTGTTTTTAAATTGGATTCTTTTACTCTACATTAAGTATTTGATATATCCTGAATATGTGTCAGGTATATGTATTAAAATATCTTCTTCCAGTCTGTAGTGTACCTATTTAATTTCTTAATGATGTCTTTTGATGGAAAGAGGTTCCTAATTTCAGTGAAGTCCAATTTTTCAATTTTTTTTATGGTTAGTATTTTTTGGACATCTATCTTTTTTCATGCAAGAAAACTCTAAATATCACTCTTTTTCTAAAAGAAAAAATATCACCTTTATCTAGTTCTAAGTTATATTGGGGGTGGTTCACAATAAGACCAGGTACAACAAAAACCACAAACCAATTGAAATAAAGGTAAAAAAAAGGGGGGGGGGAAGGGAAGGTGAAGTTGTAATGAGAAGAACTGTTAGCAACGACAAAGACCTAAGCTGAAGGAAGACACTGAAATTTAATTGTGAGCTTCTTGGCAAAATAGTTGTGTTGTTAAATTTCTTAAAGTCATAAAAACAAAAAAAGGATAGACTCAAACCTGGAAAGTTTCTTGATGAGGCCAGTGTGAAATTTACCACACTCTAAATTTAAATCTGATTCAGAAGAAATTGGCAATGATGCATGTTCGTGTGGATAAGGCCAATGTGAGATTTACAGCACTCCAAATAATGAAATTAAACCATGGAGATATCATTCAGAAAAAACTGGCAATAAGACTGGAAAGCATCAAAGAGATTTAGTTTTATATCATTTCTAAATTTGTCGTTCATTTGAGCTATACTTTCCCCTCAAGAGAGTAACAATAACCAATAATGGCAATAAAGAAATCAAACTAGCAACTGTCCCTTTTCAATCTAATTCTCATCCACGGAAATATTAAGATTTAATCCAGGATAAGCCTACTCAACAGCAACTGAGAATTCTTAAGACAAACAAAAAACAAAAAAACAACAAAAACTGATGCAAGTGGTTCACATCACTTTTGGGGGGAAAAAGTACTAAAATTCTCAAAAAAAACCCCAAAAACCCAAATCCTAGAAAGCTCAAGACTAATTTTTCGAAGACTGGGAAATTTACTTTTTCTGTTCCAAATCTTACTATTTTGCCCTGCCTAAACAAGTGATATGTATCTATGACAACATTTTAAGCAAAGCTTTTTCACAGATACTAAAGTACTTCATCATAACCATTACTTCTACTTCACAACATCATAAGAAACTATTATTACAGCCATTTGACAGCTAGGGAATCTGTGACATATAAAGGTGAAGTAACCTGCCCAAACTCTGAGTCACTGGCAAAGAGAAACACATGTACTCAACTCCATGTTTTCTGGCAAATACTTCCTTTCATCCTGTCACTAGCGAAACAAGCTTGTAGGTAAACATAACCACTTTTTTTTTTAGTAGAAGTTTAAGAGAAACAGAGACCCTACAACAGAGAGAGTTCAAGAATGAACACATGTTCACAGTTAACCCCTTAAGTAAACTCCTCCCTTACCCCAATTTCTTCCCGCTGTGATCCCCCTAGATTGTAGTTATTTCTCCCCAATGAAAGGAAACAATTCCACCCTGTCCTTCCAATCCAGAATCACTCTGAAATGGGTTAGCTCTTTTCAAAGTCTTGCTTTTCTGATGACAGCAGCTTCCCGGGCCTTCCCCTTAGTCTTTATAGGCTCGGGAAGCAGCTGCCACTGTTCTCTGAACACCAATCGCGGCCCCTGGTCCCAGCCCCCGGGCCCGGGCGTCCGCGCTCTCCTCCCCACCGCCCTACCCCACCGCTGCCTCAGGCCCTCCCCCCACAGCGTCGGCAGCTCGTGCTCACCTCGGCCCCTGACAGGAAGGGGTGCGAGGGCCCTGTGATCGTCAGGTAATTGTCATTTCCTCCGGGAAACTGGAAACCAAAAGAAAGCGGCGGGGATAAGTTAGGGGGAGTAGAGAGTTAGCATGGAGCGACGGATTCTGTCCCCGACATTCTGACAACACTCCCAAACCCGGCTCTCTTCTCCCCTCCCGTCACCCGCCTCTCCGCCCGGCTTCCCGCCTCTGCTTCGACTCGGTCGGCCGCGCTCTCTCTCCAGCCTTCTTAACGCTCAGGTTCCTACCTCCATCTTCACACAACGGCTACCACCGTCTCAGTTCCCTCATCGCTCCCACCGCCCCCACCGGACTCGAACTGCCGTCACTTCCGCAAGGACGCGCGTCGCTCTCCGCTGATTGGAAGGAGAGCCGTGGGGCTGTTGCCGGGATGGCCGAGCGGGCGGAAAGGGTAGCTACCGCCCCCTGGAGCTTGGTGGGATAATGGCAAATAGAAGTATTGGAAGCGTCCCTGGAGGTGCTGTCCGGGTATTACAGTCGCTCCGACCCAGAGAGGATTTCAGGGGAGAGCAATAGAGACGTGATCTGGGCTAGAGGGGCCAGAGATCGGTAGATTGTGCGGCTAGAGAGGCCGGAGGTAAGTGGTTGTGGAAGTCGGGCGGACCCGGAATCCAGAGGAAACGGGACCATGACTTATGCTTATCTCTTCAAGTACATCATCATCGGGGACACAGGTAACCTGCGGGCGACTGCCCTCACGGCTGGGGCGGGGATCCGAAGTTCACAAATCCGGGCGTGGGGCGGGGCTCATTTAGTGGGCTGGGCGATTAAGTGAAGAGCGGGCGGGGGCGGGGCGGCCGGGGGCGGGGCTCGGGGCTCCCCTTCCCCAGCCCCGGACGCCCGGACTCGAGATTGTTCTTGGGCCGCGTGACTCCTAGAACGTGCGTCTTCCTCTTTTAGGTGTGGGGAAGTCATGTCTCCTACTACAGTTTACGGACAAGCGGTTCCAGCCTGTCCACGACCTCACAATAGGTAAGTCCATCTGCCTGTCCCAGAAGAGATAACGAAACCTGACTAGCTGAAATGGAAAGTTAGCAGGCTTCGGTATTCGAATTAAAAAGTTACCTTTTCCTATTTTTAAGCTAGTCCAAAGTTATGTATTGTAATAAAGAGTGACTAACCAAATGCTGATAAATGGGGAGTGGTGTAAAGGGGAGTAAATCATTGAGAGGCAGCTTCAGAGATGGGCGTGAGATATGGGTTCATTGCCCTGTTTTTTTTTCCTGCATATAATTTGAATGTTTATGGAAAATTCCACGAAAGCTTAACTACTTAATTCAAAAACTCACCTTGTTTTGCGGTCAGTTAGTGCAAACGTCACGTATGTTTTTCAAAGTGATCACCAACATGTAGATTTTTGTGTGTGTTGGAGAGGAAGAAGTAAATATGAAGAGCCCTCCCAGGGCTCCCTTCTAAGTAGAAGGTAGATAAAACAGATGACCTTTAAAGAAAAGAGTGTAGTAGAATAACAAAATCACACTTGTGATTACGGAAGGCATAAACATTTGCTGCACATTTGTGTTAAGGCGGGGGCCTTCTGGGACTTCAACAACCCCTTCCCCATAATCTCCATAACCCCACTCCAAATGATTAATGTATATGAAACTAGCCTTCTTGCCATGCAGGTGCAGTTTCTGGATAAAATCCCTAACTCCCATTCTTACCGTATCGCTACTTCCAAATCCCACCTTATTGAAATCTGAAGCTACTTCTGTTCCCAAACACCTTATTCAGAGCGAAATAACTAATGGGGTTAGAAAAGGATTTAGAGGATAACATCTACAGGAAAATATCTTTGTAAGTTAATATGAAGTGAGCACAGTGTAATAGGTGCTAATGGTATATAGTGCCTAACCAGGCAGACATTGTGCCTGTCCTTAAGTAATTTACAGTCTTCCAATGTAGGAGGTGAGGCTGGATCAGAGACTAAGTAAATTCCTATGGTAGAAGGGGAGGAGAGGCTTCGACCTCTATCTGGAAAGGCTGAAAATTGAATGAACAAGAGTTAGCCAGGCACAGGGGTTGTAGAGATGGAAAACTGGTCAGGGCAAGAGGGAATAATATTTGCAAATACTCAGGAATGTCAGATCAGACTACCTTTGGAAAACAAAGTAATTTAATATGGCTGGAGCATGAAATTTCAAGTGGAGAGTGGCAAAAAAAATAAGGCTAGAGAATAAATTAGGGACCAAGTTCTAAAACAGCTGAAGGTAATGAGCAAATGACAAATTTTAAAGTGGAGGAATGAATTGATCAAGTTTTTGCCAGAGTCCCGTATAGGCTCTGTTTCTTTTTGAATTCAGACCTACATACCAAGATAAGACAGTTGGGATAGAAAATATGTGTAAAATATAAGGATCTCTGAGTGCATAATTGGGAGAAGTTGCATAAAAGACAAATTTTATTTTTTCGCTATTGAGATTCCATTTCTATTGTCCAGAAAGGGGGAAAAAAAAATCTAGTGACTTCTTTTCAGTAGCTATCACTGCTCTTGATGAAGCTGTCTAGAGTAGTAAAAGAATTTTTTCTATCTTATTAACTGCAGCATCTTAGAGTTGAGAGAGAGAGTCCTAATAATATTGTGGGGGGGGCCACTGAATAGGCACCTATCAGCCCTTTAGCAGAAGCTAAATTAGTGCTCTTTCTTACTTGGAAATCAGAATTTCTCTAGTAAAATACTGTATAAAAATAGAACATAGGACAAATTGACTTATGATCAAGTATTTTCAGTTTGAGCGACCTTCAATTTTAAATTTTGTCCTAACATTACTTGAAAGAAGATGAATGCCAGGTAAACCAAAACCTTATTCAGACTGTCAGTTTCCATACTCCTATAAGGAAGGCTATTTTCTGATGAACTGTGGGAATTAGTTAGAGATCTGAAATGTATCATTCTTGGGAACCTATTTCTTAGGCTCTTTTCTCAAACAAAAAATTATGGAATTGCAAAAAAGAAATACTGGTTTAGAGAGTGACTTTGAGAAAATGTTAGGAAATATTTCAAAATTTTTAGATTTTTTTTAAAAAGTTACAAATTAAACATTAATTACCTAATGAAATTTAAGTGTTAACATTACTAAAAATTCATTCACCTTTTCTATTTCTTACTTTCATCTCCATATCTGCTTTTTGGTTACATTCCTGGGGTCATTATCACCTAGATTACAATTTTTTAATCCTAGAAGGAAAATGAAAGTTTAAGAAACACAAAATTAATTGTAGCAAATAGCAATAATGGGCTTAGTGGTTACTGAGTGCAGACAGAGAGGGAGTCAGTTGGCACATTGGGGAAAAACATGAACCTCTCAACATGGGTGATGTTCATGAGAATCACATCCTTTCTTTTGCTTTTCACTGACAGGTGTGGAGTTTGGGGCCCGTATGGTCAACATTGATGGAAAACAAATCAAACTGCAAATCTGGGATACGGTGAGAGAGAACAGGATAACTTAGTCCCTGACCAAGATCCAAACAGAACAGTAAAGGCTGATGCGGGGGCAAGGGGCCATGAGGGCGGGGCTGATGGTGAAGATGAGCGTAGAGGAAGAGTTTTCACTTTCATCTGTTACAGTTAAAATTCTGAATGCCGTGTCTTTGTATTTTTATTTTAAATTACCCAAGTAATGTATGAATTTGTCCTAGTAAAAATTAAAGCAAACGATATAAGTGTATAGAGTAAAATGTGAATGTCCCCTTTCACACACACAAATCTCTTCCTTCCATTCCTTGTTTCTGCCTAATCAGTGTGAATGTTTCAGTGCTTATACTTTCAGACTTCTTTTTGTTGAGATACATACACATGTACAAATATATGGTAGTGGTTTTGTTCTTGTTAGTTGTACATGCATAGAATCATGGCCGAGTAGACCTAGCTATGTTAGTTTTTTTATTTAATTATTTCTATGTTTTGGATACTTCTGTGTTGATACATACATCTCTACCTCATTTGTTTTAACCACTATATAGACTCATAAAAAGTCTGTACCATCATTTGTTTAACTATGCTCCCAATGATGGAAATTCAGGTTTCCAGTTTTCACCTTTGCAAATTTTCACTGAATGTCCTTGATTACTACATCTTTATGCAAATAGTTTTGAGAATTTCTGTGGAATGCCTGCCCAGAAATGGAAAATCTGGGTCAGAGGTTATGCGTATTTTAAAATTTGACAAATGTAGTACTGCTAAAATTTAGCTTGACTTAGTATAATTTTGTTTTAGCCACATAAACTGATTTTATGTGTATTATCTCATTTGATTTGTATCTTTCTTTTCTCTAAGGAAAATAATATCCCTGTCTTTATTTAAAGTTGAAGGAAGCAAGCACAAAGTTCTTAATATTCAGCTAAAATCTGTGTTTGTTTACTTATTATTTCATTCTGGTTTTTTTTTCAAAACTCAAGAGCTGAAGCTATAGCTATAAGCAGTACAGTGATTTTTTCCTTTTTTTCCTCCCCTTACCCTCCTCCCATCCTCCATCTCCCTACGCATGCAGGTATCTGTCTTAAAAGTACAATTGATCCTTGAACAACATGTGTTTGAATTGCGCAGGTCCGTTCATATGCAAATTTTTTCAGTAAATGTATTATGGTACTGTAAATGTATTTTCTTAACATTTTTATTCTCTAGCTTATTTTACTGTAAAAATATAGTGTTTAATAGAAATAGCATACAAAACATGTTGATCGACATATGTTATGGGTAAGGCTTCTGGTCAGCAGTAGGTTATTGGTAGTTAAGATTTGGAGGGGTCGAAGTTATACGAGGAATTTCGACTGCATGGTGGCAGGCCTCCCTAACTCCCCTCTTGTTCCCGAGTCAACTGTAAGTTAACTTGCTGCTCTAAGCCCTTTTTGCAGAATCTTTTTCTGGTGGCCTCCAAGGTTGTTACCACCTTTGGTTGCGCTCATTTATGAGATGCTTTTAACTAGGATCATATTCTTTTGTACGTTATTTGGTCATATTTGCAAGTATTTTAATAACCTTTTGCCCTTCTGAACAGACTTTACATTTCTAATAGTGGCAGCACTAGCCACATACCTCTGAATCTTCCAAACTTGTTCTTTTGACTAGTTTTGTCTCTAGCCTTTTCCTCCCAGCTAAACCCGAGAGATATACTGTATGTTTGTTGCCAAGGTTAAGTTCATGTATTTCTTAAACAGCTGTCACTCATCACTCATTCCCTTCTCCTTTCATTGTTTGGGCCCAGGGGTTCTTTGTCACTATTAACCCAAGTATGTATCTTGCAACTCTCCTTTTACTATCTCCTAATTTTTATATTTCCCGCAAAGATATATTTGCCCCCCTAAAGAGGCCATAGGACAAATTCTGAGCAGGTGACAGAGTGAAACCTGTAGAAGTCAAGACTGGTAATAGGTAGTTCTGCCTTTTTAACTTAAACCTCTACCATTTCTAAAAATGGATGTTTTCATGCCAGGAGACCCAATAGCTTCCAGTTAGTGCTACGGTCACAGTTATGAGAGTGTCTAAGTGTTGGTTTCCTGGCTTTTGTGTTTTTGTTGTTTTTTTTTTTCTCCTTACATGGTAACATGAGACACAGTGGATCATAAAATAAGAAAGTTGAGAGCCACTGCTCTGTTGACAGGATCCTCAAGGACCATATGGCCTGATAGTCACTTGTGATGCAACTGGCCTAGTTGTTTTCTGTTCTCTTTTAATAATTGTTTTGAGAATAGACTAATTTTTGTTGAACCATAAAAAGAGATCAGGTTTCAGAATACTAGGTTTTCGGGCCACCTGGGTGGCTCAGTTGGTTAAGTGACTGCCTTCAGCTCAGGTCATGATCCTGGAGTCGCAGGATCGAGTCCCGCATCAGGCTCCCTGCTCAGCTGGGAGTCTGCTTCTCCCTTTCACCCTTCCCCCTCTCATGCTCGCTCTCTCTCTCTCTCTCTCTCTCTCATCCTGTCTCTCAAATAAATAAAATCTTAAAAAAAAAAAAAAGAATACGAGGTTTTCTACTTGAAATTTTTAAGAGATTCCTGCCTATAATGTGGTGTGTTTCTTGTCTGCACTCTTCTGGGTAAGCCTGATCTTTTTTCCCTTGTCAGCCCTGATCTACTCATTGCTTACCCATCTTGGTTTCCCATTTTGTTGACCCCATTTTCTCACATATTCCCAAAGTCATCCTACGTGAAAATATTTAGGGATTACCATGAGGGAATTTTTAAAGAGATCAACTTACCCAGAGTTTTCTGTTGTCACTGTTCTGGTTATTGATAAGGATTTAGAGAGCTGTATTACTTTTTTTTTCTTTTTAGTAGGTTCCGTGCCCAATGTGGGGCTTGAACTCATGACCCTCAGGTCAAGAGTCATGTGTTCGACCAACTAAGTCAGCCACATGCCCTTAGAGAGCCATATTATTGTTTGTCTCTTTTCATTCTGTACATATAATTGCCCAAATAACCCATGCTAAACAAAGAGGCATTATACTGTAGTTAATATAAAATACTGGTCAATCCCAAATTCATTTGTATTTTACTTCAGAATGCATTTTGATTCTTAGGAAATGAGCCTTTCTGACTTTGTAGGAATTGATACTTCAAACGATAGTTGACCCTTGGGCACCTGGGTGGCTCAGTTGGTTAAGCACCTGCCCTCGGCTCAGGTCATGATCCTGGAGTCCCGGGATCGAGTCCCACATCGGGCTCCCTGCTCAGCGGGGAGTCTGCTCCTCCCTCTGACCCTCTTCCCTCTCGTGCTATCTGTCTCTCATTCTCTCTTTCTCAAATAAATAAATAAAATCTGATAGTTGACCCTTAAAACAAAGTGGGGCTTAGGGACATCAACCCCTGTACAGTCAAAAATCTGCGTATGACTTTTGACTCCCAAAAACTTAACTACTTTTTAAAAAAATTTTATTTAAGTAATCTCTACATGCAACGTGGGCTTGGGCTTGAACTCATGACCCTGAGATCAAGGGTTGCATGCTCTTCTGACTAAGCTAGCAAGGCATCCCCAAAAACTTAACTGCTAATAACCTACTGTTGACCAGAAGGCTTACAAAAAATCAATTAACATATGTTTTGTATGTT